CAAGATTCAAACCAAGTTTGTAAGACTATCATTTGATCCTGAATAAGAACTTCAATTCATGTAAAAATGGAAGATACCTCACTATAAGATCAAAACTGAGTCCAGTGTTTGGCAGTCGCTTGCCTCTACTCGGAGGTTCGGGTTGACGCCGTTCACAAGACTTCTTACCTTGGTTCGATGGAAGAGGTTTTAGGTTTATTAAGAGCATTAGTCACTTAGGCTGTTAAACTTATTTTGTTGTCTGACCTTGTTTTCGCACCTTGTTCGGAACATTAAAGAGACCTTGTTGAACGTACTTAGTCATGCGTCTTCTGCCATCGTATTCGTGATATCCAGCATCGGACCATTGACTTGGTATATTCCCAAACGTTCTGTTGGCATCACCAGTAAGAGGCATCATTTTTATCACAGTTTTACAATTTATAAAAGTGAAAAGTGAAGGCAATCATCTTATCTCCTTGCATCTCTCTGGAGTAGTGAATTCATTTTCCACTTTTCAATTTCATCATTACTTATGCATATCTTAAGGACATCTTTTAGCCTAGTCTTAAGTCTTTCGTTTGGGTCTCTCAATAAAGGTCTAAATGTGTCATTATCCTTTACATGTACTAGCATCTTTTCTAAATAACTTGACTTATCCATGACTACCACTGCTCCACCTTTGTCGGCTTTCGTATCTATAAGTTCATGTTGTTGCACCTTTTCTTTTGTTAAAGGCCGTAAGTGTAAAGGATTATCAACTTGAATTTAGTGAAAGCCAAATAAGGATTATTTGGATTGTGACGGTAGATGTGTGCGAATAGGGCATTAGTGCACAATACTGACACTAATGAAAGTGTGCCGAAGAAAAATGTACAATCGCAGTTCCTAGGCTCCTTCGCCTTCCGATGGGGACAAGTTAAGAATCCTTGTCAAGCTTCAAGAAGACTGTTGAAGGCGGCCTTCCGAGGTGCAGAAAAGTGGCAACTAATGCTCACTTAGTTTATTGACAATCTTTGGATCTAGGCCTTCAAGAAGCCTTGTCAGTTTCTCGCATTTATGCTGTGTGCATGTAGAGAATTAATGTTTCAAGTTGACTTCCAATCAAGGATGGGCTGACTATTTAGTCTCAACAGGATTTCATCAACACTCTTAATACGTTTTAGACCCACAAAACCGGAAAACAAAAGTTTACTACTTCATTATGTGGCGTGGACGTTGAAATAAACAAATAATGATCCCTGAAAGTTTCGAGAGCTTGGGTGTACTTCACCTTATCCGTGACGATCCATAGACCTAAAGGAGCTGCGTTGGCAGGTCTAAGAAATTAATTGGCATTGCCATAGCAATGAGGAGCCCGGTTATTAGGAGTTTGAGGTATTTCTGCATTGTTATCGCCTCCTCCGTCTACTTTAAAGCATTTCATACTTCACGTGACCATCTTGCTTTGAAAATCTTTACTGTATTTTAAGCCGGTTCATGACCGTTCACATGCGAATATTCGAATCATTCCCCCTCCTAAACTTACAAGTCTGGTGTCAACAAACACTTGACAGACAGTTTATGCGTTGGAACACATCTTCATGCCGTGTTCAAGCTTGCAGTGAGCTAAGAGAACAACTAACCAGTCAATCCCTGAGTATAGAAGGTGTGATTATCTGATACAGATATGTGGCTTTTTAACCACACAGACACATAAGAATGTGCTTACACAAAGGATATCACGTAAATTAATTGGCCATAACATTTCACAACTATAATCGTGCATAGCTTACTTCCATTTCGAGTGAAAGTGTTTAGTGAAGACATTCAAAGCTCGACTCCACCAAGAGCCGACGATGGATTTCTCTTGACCGGCTGTCGATTGGCGTAACTGATACATTCATGTTGGCGCTGTTTCCGAGACAATCTGCTTCGATTCCGGTCAAAACGTGTTAACCTCTTCCTCCGTCATATGATGGATGCACTTCTATTGCTATCGCTACACAATTTTACTCACAAGTACGAACACCTCTCCTGACTCATTCAACCGAAGAGGTCTTTGTACATTTTCACAAGTACAAATCCAGGATTAATATATAATAATAATATATATAAAATTATAATATAGCAGTGTTTGACAGACTTATATAGTACCAAAGTTTATCATGAATAGGTTCGAGAGTCGATTCCCAATGTACGATTTCTTAGACATGCACAAAGGGCATCATTCAGCCTAGTTTTAAGTCTCTCAGTTGGACCTCTCATTATAAAAAAAATAAGTATCATTATCATTAACAGGAACTGGCATCTTTTCAATCCAAACAGGATTGTTTTCTTCTATCGTAGACCTGACGTTAGCGAGACATGTCGGCCTATCTGATGAAGATGAGGTGAACACAAAAGTGCTTGTAGATGCGATGAGCAACTGAGTTTCGATGAATCTTCTGAGATAATATTGTCAACAAGAGTTTCATTTCGTATGAAAGGTGACGAAGAAGAGATTCATGACCTGGTGTTAACGTGAGACTTTGACAAAAATGAATTCCAGCACTGATCGTGTCCATCATGTGATGGAAGATAGCTCAGTCCGTCTTCACCCGAAGCGAGGGAGGATGTCATGGACTCATCAGCCGTCCTCTTCTTGTGAGATCGCCGTTCAAATGTTCTCTTCATAAGCTTTCATATGAAATGAAACTCGTTCCAAGAAGCTGAATCGACGGGTCAAAAATGGCCGAACACAGGTCAGAGACTGGGCGGCGCCATTTTTCAATTAAAATTTTTCCATGGCGCCCTACCCTAAGTATGCATATTCGTGAGTAAGACATTAAAATAAATAAAACTTGTATATCTTCATTATGTTTTTTTATACTTTAAATAACATTACATTAATATTTAATAATTAATGTGATGGATAAGCCTGAAACTCACTGCACATTTTCTCAAATTAAAGCACAGTGTGGATTAGACAATATGCTGACTGTGAGAAATAGTGGCATAAAGCGAGGATGAAGAATTTATAGAAGATTTTCACCTTATTTACGCAACTTGGTCAGATTGGTAGAAAAACTTAGAGAAATGCACCTTCTCCGGATAGTTCATAGTATGCATGATAATTTGCAGTAGATCCTTTGACCAAATGTGTGGTATCTCTTCTGTACTGGCTTATTCAGCAGTCCCATATCCTCGTATCACACCTTCAATATCATACTTGCTCACTTGTTTATCCCATTCTATTCACACTCCCCGCGGGCTCCCACATGCCATCCTGATCTGCGTGTTTCACTGATTTCACTCGGTTGCTGCCACCTCATCCATGCTACTCCAAGTCTTTGCCAGCAAGTATAGGCCAGCTCCACTCAGCAAGTCCCCAATGTCCGGCTTCTCAATTGTCATGGCAACATAACTTGACAATGTAGCTGTGGAGTGGCATGGCAGTGTGTGGCGTGTGCACAGAATAAATCTCGTAACGATGTCTATGATCGAACTAATCTACCAATATGCAAATGTCAAAGGTCGCCAACGTATCTCTGTTTCTTCCATCACAAATGCCAATTCTATGATTTGCGTGCCGACTCCCGAATGTGATAGTTCCACTTGAAGATACGAAGAGCAACTTGGTTTCGATGAACCTTCTGAGATAACATT